TTTCCCTTTCTTGATCATCTGAATCTTGGACCCGTCTTGCGCTACTTCTCGCGCCCTTTCTCTTCTCCCCCTCTGAGTCTGGCGCACGACGCCCGGTCGATCCATCGATAACTCCCACTTGCCAATCAGGTGCGTGGATCAATAGGACCTTCCTATTGCGCGGCGAATCTGATTGGTTGGACCTTGAGTTTCGAGGGATCAACATGGCGTTCATAGAGCACTCCTCTCAAAGTCTTCTCCTCCTGCTTCTCCTCTTACACCTCAGCCGTCCCGTCACCTTCTCCCCCTTCTATCTTCCCTGTCGCAACTATAAAACCCGCAAGTGCGTCCGCAAATCTCTCTTACGTTCTCGACTCTCGAGCCAACTTCCGAGAAGCAGTGGCTAGGCAGAGCGTTTGAAGCGAGTCGAAAAGTCCTGTCGGGCTGACGATAGGCTGGCCGGTTGCGCGCTGGATCGCCACGACGGACTGTGGGATCAGGGTGAACTGTGTCGAGTTTACGACAACGGGGTGACGATCGCAGTGGTGGGAGTTAGCACGCGATGGCCGGGATCGTCGGTGCGGGTATGAGGATCGATGATCGGAGTTGAGTTGATTGGCCCGGGGCCATATTGGAATTAACGGCAAATGCGCCTTTGTTGCGGATTGTTATCTTTGGCGTGAGTGTACTGCAGCAACGCCGAACTTTTCTCTTTTCGGACCTTGTCATCTTCTATTTTGATTTTCTTCCCTCAAGTCTCTCTCTCTCTCTCTCTTTCTCTCTCTTTCTTTCTTTTCTACTTGTCGAATGGTGATGCGTCCGAATGATTGTCCCTCTCCTGAATGGGAATGAGTTTGCATCTTGTTTCTGTGTGCAAGAACTTCTTCCGGAACTCTTCCATTGATTGATATGTGGACTGACAAGTACCCTCCGATCGGGCGTCAGCCTCCCGTACCTCCCGTACCCACACGACCTTTTCCCTACAACGAGGAAAGGACACGTGTATGCGAGTGGGATGTACGAGAAGTTGTCGCACAGATCGGCGCGCGATACTACTTCCCCCCGGGAAACCGTTGTTCAGGGTTCGTAGAGGCTGGGTTTGTTATTATCGACACACACTTCCCACCTTACTCACTATTGCTCCCCTTTAACGAACTAATCGTTATCCCGTGGACGGCAGTGGCGCCCCACTGGCCTCGAACCTTGTGCACAGAGTGCCAGCGTTTCGATCGCTACGAAGCGAAGGGCTTCCACTACCGAATACGGACCGAGGACGAGCACAAGGAGAGAGCCACGCATCTGCGACCCTCCTCATCAGACTCAGAACTGACCAACGAGCGACGACGGGACTTGATCCGAAAACGAGACACGCGAAGCGTGCCGAAACCCTTCCGCTCTAAACGACGGGCCGTAGCACGGTGGTAAACCCGACAATACTTCCTAGATTGAATTTGGATTTTGCTCTCTTCGCGCCTTATCCTCGCGCGCATTCCGTGACGCGCGAAAACAATCGACTTGCTTCATCAGGCCAACACGGGGGATTTCAGTTTCGTCTGTGTTCCCACACTCAATTTTCAAAAATCCTTGGCACACCCCATCTTGCTGTTTTTCCGGGCCTCTTTCCGCACAATTAACACTGCGAACGAAAGACAGCACGGGACGTGAGGTTGGTATCGGAGCCGACACGTGTTGGTTCTGATGATTGTAAGTCGAACTGGCGAGAGGTAGGAGAGACCCTCAACTAACTCGTCGGGATCGCCCAGTAACCAGGTCTCAGTCTAGTGCGGCTGCACCAGCAATACCAATGGTGGATGGTACTAGGGTGATCGTTAGTATCCCTGCCCCCTTCCCCTTCTTCCCTAACCATACTCATCCCGAGGGTTGGCTGGAAGCTGTCGAAGCTCAGAACTACAGCGCAGCCGACCTCCCCCGCGTTCTGACATTGCTACTTCGCAACACATCCCGTGACTGGCTTAGGAAACATGCGTGGGTAGATTGGGCTACCTTCAAGCAAGCCTTCTTGGCTCAATTCGATACAGTTAGTGAAGATGCCGCCTGGTATGTACTCAAAAATCGACCTCAAGGGCCAGGGGAATTGTTGCCCGATTTTGTCGATCGGTTTCAAACCACGTTGGATAAATCCGGGCGGGATGAGAAATCCGCTCGAGATTTGTTCATCGACCACCTCCGAAGTTCGACACTGAAAGGAAAATTACAGAAAAAGGTTCCGTCGAAAACGCACCAGTTATCGGCTATCATCACTAAAGCATTGGAACTGGATCTGGCTGATACAAAAAAATATATCAGCCAGGGAGATGAAGACATTACAAATAGCATACGGGATGTAACGGCCAAAAGGTGATCATGGTTGCAGGCGGTCGAACGGTTTTATCCCTGCCCCGACCATGACCTTTCAAGAGGGATCATTTCCGACATCCCGACTGCTTCTCCTCCCGCTCCCCCGGTGAATCAATCGATCGCAGCCGTTAAAAGTGGAATCTCATCCGAACCCCCCTCGTCGGCCGTAACCAATCTACACCTTGCCCAGATGATCCATACGGCCACTACCAAGCAGTCCGAATGGATGAGCAACCTGATCCAAATGCAGGCCGCTCATATGGAACGAATGGAACAAATAATGAGCCGACTCATTAAGCCTAACCCGGCGCCTGCTCGGCCCTCCCCTGCATCGTTTCCACTCTTACCTGCCCCACCTGCTCCAGGGTTTGCGCCCCAGTTCCCTCATCCAGCAGGGAAGATCGAATGCTTTAACTGCAAACAGCCCGGGCACTTTGCCCGGGACTGTCCGCAGCCGAAACGTAATCAGCCTCCCCCTGCTGCGGCCCCCGTCGCCCTTAATCAAGGACGAGTGGCCGCTTTGATGGATAGGGATCCAGGAAGAGAACTCGTGGCATACGCCCCCGAGCAGCCTTCCCCTTCGACGGCACTAGCGTCGACATCAAGAGCTTCCTCCTCTGACGCTGCCGACATAGTCGATCCACTCGAATACCTTCATCTTGCAGGCATGATCGGAGCAATCTGATCGGTCCCAGATGATCTCGAGTGGGTCGATCGCGAATCCAATCTTGGACCACAGTTCCGAACAGGAGACATTGATGTACTGAAAGCGCTCAAGCAACTAGATATTCGCGTGCCCATCCCAGTGGGACATATGCTCAACATATCTGAAGTGGCGAACGATAAGCTTTTACAACATTGCCAGAAAAATCAAAAGCGTTTCACCTACCAACGCATACAACGGATGTTAAGGAAGAAAGAAGAAAGCGAGGAAGTTGAACCCCCCTGAGCCTGACACGAAAGAGCCGGAACCCGAAGCCGCACGCATAGCAGCAATCTTTTTAGCGGAAAAAGATCACTTCGTATGAGCCCGGCCGGTATTGTGGAAAAGTGCGGAATGTGACTGTGAAGTTTGGGGCAAACCGTTTAATGCACTTATTGACACAGGGTCTTTTGTCGTGGCCATATCATTGGACACTGTCAAAACGACGGGGCGACTGGGATCTATTCTTCCTCAATCTGGCAAAGACAATTATGTCTCTGCCGACGAGGAAGCAATGAACATTGTAGGCATTATCGAGAATATGACCGTAAAAGTTGGACGAGTACACGTCCTTGTTAACGCACTCGTAATAGATGTACGTTCCTATTCTGTGTTGCTGGGATTACCTTGGGCGATGGCGGTAGGTGCACGTCTGCATTTCGATTCGAAGCAACTGGTGCTCACACAAACTGGAGGAAAACCTCAAACTGTTCCTTTGCGAGTTTCCACCCGAACGATGAAACGGGTCCCTAACCCGGCCCAAATAGGGATGATCCGATACATTGATCCCAAGGAATGCTCTCCCTCGCGCCTTGGGGATGAAATTAGGGAACAAGAACATGAAGAAGAGATGCCTAGCAAAGAAGAATGGAAGCATCTGGTTGAACTTTTCGAACATGAAACCCCCGAAGAATTTCAGGTGTGCCCCACACCGCCCGAAGCTTCCACGTGGATTCCAAAGACAGTGCATTCACGCCTCTAACAATCCATGTCAGTCCTTCAGTCCTCCTCGGGAAACCCATATTGCAAGTTTCCGATCTGGCTGATGATTCGGAACCCCCTCGCACCTTGTACGAGGGAGCTCTCTCCTTACGGACGCGTTATCAGCAAACGAAATAGTATGTAGACGTTTCTGTTTTTCCACCCCGATCGTTACTAACGACAGGAGCCACCATCGCCTTGATTAAACAAGAGGCGGAAACACCGATAAATGACGTACCTAATCTGATGCAAGAAATGACGGATCTAACAGGGCTAACTGTGGAACCGACCCCTGTTGGTTTAGAAACTGACGCTGAAACTAAAGAAACAAAGATGATCAGCCCTGATGAGTCCCAGATGATAGCGACTGTCTTCTCTGTTCGCACCAGTAGTTCCGTTTTTTCTAGTGTCCATGATCGACGTGAACGGCCGGTTGATTGGATCGACCCCTTAATTCCGGGGAATCAGCAATCACCTTGCCAGGACACGTTCCTGCGGAACTTCGAAAATCGTTAATTCGAGTGTTAAATGGCTACGAAGAAGTATTGAGCATACACGATGACGACATCGGGTTAACTAATGTGATCGAGCATGCCATTCTCACGGGAGATCATCCACCCATTAGCTGCGCTCCCTATCGATACTCGCCGGCTCAAAGAGCTGCCGCTTTTCAGCGGATTAAGGAGTTCGAAGCTAATGGATGGATCGAACCCACTATAGGTCCATGGTCTTTCCCTGTAGTGATCGTACCTAAAAAGGCTGGAGGGATTCGCATTTGCATTGATTATCGAAAATTGAACGATATCACGATCAAAGATGTGTATCCCCTCCCGCGGATTGATGAGTTGCTGGATGCGATTGGGAGTGCTCGATTTTTCAGCAAGTTTTGTGTTCGCCATGGGTTTCATTACCTTCTTGTTCGTGAGGAAGATCGTTCGAAAACAACGTTCGTGCTTTTCGAAGGTACATGGCAGTGGATTCGATGTCCGATGGGTATCTGCAATGCCCCTGCGACCTTTCAGCGGGCCATGAACATGGCTTTTCAGAATTTTGTGAGGAAGACTCGTTTGGCGCAGAGCATCATCAACTACTGCGTGATTGTGTACATGGATGATATCCTGGTGTATTCAAGTTCCTACGAGGGACACGTGCGGCACATCGAATGGACACTGCATGCGTTACGAGATGCAGGTTTCAAAGTGGCACTTGAGAAGTGTCAGTTTTTCCTCACCACCATTTCCTTCCTAGGGCACGTGGTGACAGACAAGGGACTCCAACCGGAACCGCAGAAAGTGGCAGCTGTCAGGGACGCGCCGGTGCCTACGACTATCACGCAAGTTCGCGCCTTTTTGGGCCTAGCCTCGTACTACCGAAGATTTATCAAGGGCGTCACGGCGATTGGGGGACCCCTCACAAATCTGTTGCGCAAGGATCAGCCGTTGATCAGGACGCCGGAATGCGATCAAGCGTTTTCCACACTCAAGGCCGCTCTCATTTCGGCTCCGGTCCTTATAAGACCGGATCCCGAAAAACCTTTTGTTCTCATCACTGACTGGCAGCCAGAGGCGATTTCGGCGATCCTTGCCCAGGTGGGACCAAACGGACTCGAGAGTGTGGTGGAGTATGCGTCCAAATCAGTGCCCGCCTGCAAGTGTAACTACGCCGCTCCAATGGGTGAATGCTATGCGGCTCTCTGGGGAATCAGTCACTTTCGTGCTTACCTGTACGGGCGAAGATTCACCCTGGTGACTGATCATGAGCCCCTGTTGGCTCTAAAGAAGTCGAGGGATTACTCGGGCAATATCGGACGATGGGCAACGGTGCTGCAGAGCATGAACTTTGGCATTCGTCATCGGAAGCATGAGAGACACGGGAATGCAGACAGACTGACACGGCTGCATCGGCCTGAGAAAGTTCCAAAGAATGAGGAGGTGATTCCCTGGAACGAACCTAAACAGGAGGTTGGACCCCGGTACGGCCAAGTGGAGATTTTGTCGAAGCAGTAAGTGACACGAGGGTTAATTTGCCTGTTCCACTCTATTCACAAGTCAGTCCCATCTCTCCCTATGTCATCATGACTACCCCACTCGCCTCCATAACCCCTTCATCTCCTACTAATTCTGCCCCTCTCACGTCCTCGGCTTTCTTCGCCACCCTCCCTGATAAGTTCTGCTATTTTTGCACGTGTATTGCATGAGTTTAAGTGGTCGACTGTCATCCCTTCGAGACCGGATTTGCCGATTGGGTAGAATGTGCCACGTGTGTCAACCGTGTGCACGGGGCCTGCGTTCGATATCGGACGAGTAGCAAGGAATGGAGTTGCCTTCTGTGTAGAACGAACAAGCTCCCCACGGAGGTTCGATTCGAGGCCGCCCGTACGGACGGCCCTGAATACGACAAAAAATACCAACGAGCGGAGGTCTGGACGGATAAAATTTTATTAGCAAAATTAGCGGGATTGTAATTGGGCCACCTCACCAAACACGACAGACGCAGGGCAACCGAGAGATCTTGGGACTATCAATGGATCAATGGTCATTTGGAAAAGCGTAAAACTGACGGATCAGGTTCGTGGTTGACGATTCCCCATCCCTTCCAGAGATACGATTGGATCCGATCCGCTCACGAAGAACAGGCCGCTCATTTTGCAATACGTGTCACAGAGGCAACTATAGACCAGAACCGATGGTTCTGGTCTAATATACGAGATGATGTCAAGTACATTGTCGCTAACTGTCTGGTCTGTGCCGCTGATCGCGCCCCTATACGGGGACCAAACACGATCGTACCAACGGAAGTAGAGCGTCCTTTCCAGGAAGTCAGTATGGACACGACAGATATTGACGTGCCACCTGGCCCAAACCGCTGTGAATATTCTATCCTGTTAATTTTAATTGACCATTTTTCCAAATACATCGAAGTCTATCCCTGTAAGACCCGAAAGGCCGCAGAAATAGCCACGTACATCGAACGATTCCTCTATACCCATCCAGATACGGAAGAATTTCTAACTGACAATGGGCCGGAATTCAAAGCTGAGGTAGAGGAACTGCTTGCGCGAAGGGGCGTCACGCTCCGACACACGGTGTCGCGCCCCCACTGCTTCAAGGGTCCGGTGAGATGACCTTCCCCGGACCGAGCTCAGTGGGTTGATGGACTGGCAGGCTGTCACGCAGAATTTTGATAGGTATAAAAAAATTGAGAGGTATTCATAGGCAGTTACACTTAGTCTTACAGCCGACTAGTCAGGGTTATCCCTCCTGCCAGCGGCGACACGGCTTAGAGTGAGGCGTTCGGGTTTATCGCCTGCACCTGACCCCGTATAAAGGATAGACCCAACGTCACCGGAGTCCCTATCATTCAGGAGTCCTTCAAGCTGCCTTGAGTGTAACATGTATGTCATAAGAAGAAAAATAGCATACATACATTCATCATAGAATAATTGACACAGACAAAATGAGCAGACCAGAAACCAGACTCTGCAAGAGCATGACCAGAGAAATGACACTAAAGAGTAGTACACAGTGTATGCAGGGAGCAGCCATCAGAGGGTCGTAGTCACTAATAAATAATAATGTCGTAATACATCAATAGTGACTGAAAAGAGAGAACCTCAATCAATGATAATAAGCGGTACCCCCTCGTGAGTGAGTGCTGCCGTCTGGGACTCCTCGTCATTGAGAACTCGTGTGGCTATAGACTCTGGAACCACATAGCTGATCTCGAGAGGCGCTGCTGGATCAATCTTGCAGATATAGGCCATGCATCTTGCCATCTCCTCGTCTGCGATGCTCCTGAGATAAAGCTCCTCTGCAAGGATGATATCGCCTGAAGCTCCAATCAATATCTCAATACGTCCTCTCCTACCAGAGTAAATGTAGGAAACCTCGAGAAAGCGATCTCCGTAAAGAGGCTTTCGATAAGCCTGCATAGCAAAGTCCGTCCCGACCAAATGACTATAGCCATCTCCGAGGTATGGGACCGGACCCTCCCCTCTTGGGGGACCAATAACTGTCTCAGACCCAGGGTCGTCTGACATGTAGGAGTCAATCACCCTCAAGAAGATACCGTGCAAGAAGATGTGCGATCCTCCTCAATGTCGCCCTCCGACGTCTCCGCTCACTGGTCTCCAGCGCTCCTGTCGCTGTCCACAAACTCAACCCCTATGAATGTCCCAGTCGAAGTAATCGCCAAGATCAAGGTCACTCACAGAACAGGGCTCCAAATCCGACTCATCTGTCTATGATTTCGGGATACATGTAGTGATTGAGATTCCGGATCTGGTTATCTCTCTCTGGATCCGGTCCTCCTTCCGCCTCTTCTCCTTGTTGCGGGGCTCACTAAGGGGCTTGGGGTTGCATCCGTCAAAATCGAAGAGCACACCCCCAGGTGTTGAAGGTACGCGAGGGAACACCACGTGTAGCCAGTTGTCCCTCCAATAGCTCTCCCTGCGAAATATGTAATCCGCAATCCTGTCGTATGTGGTGCCCTTTACTCCCGTCTCTGCCCCCTTCACCGAGTAGGTGATCACGAGCGTGTGTCTCGAGGTCGAGGACTCATTGGCCCTGATAGTGAAACTCTGATGTCCCACATGTCTGTAGCAGAACCTCTAAATCAATCTACCCCACTTAGGGGCAGTCTCACGACGACGGGCCAGCTTGGATAGAAGGTGCACTCTCACTAATGCGAATACTCCCTCCAAGACCTGGCCAGATAGCAATCAACAACTCAATGAGGAGGCCTGTCTGAATGGCCTGACTAAACTGCAACTCGATATAGGGCCCGCCTGAATGGGTCTGGCTGAATCAGCAACTCAATATAAAGCCCGCCTGAATGGGCCCAGCTGAACAGCAGTTATCTCAGAAGAAAAAGGGCCCGCCTGAAGGGGCCTGGCTGAAAACTGCAGCAATCTCGAGAAGTGGGCCCGCCTGAAGGGGCCCGGCTGAATCAACAACTCAATCTCAAGTAGGCCCGCCTGAAGGACTCGACTGAACAGCAACAGTCTCAAGTAGGCCCGCCTGAAGGGCCCGGCTGAACAGCAACAATCTCAAGTAGGCCCGCCTAAAGGGCCCGACTGAACAGCAACTAATCAGTAGAACATCTCATGCACAGGGACCAGTCGTAAATGCTGAATGTACTGGGGCTAGACTGAGCCAGATCATCTGTGCAGGGACTGAATTGGCAATGCTCCCCGTGCGAGGGGAAGAATCATGTGCATGAGGTGATGCTGATCAGCGAGGAAATAAATCAACGGGAGCGTGATGGTAAATCATCCCAGCTGGCAATCCTATGCTCGGGCATACATGGGCTCGCACTCAAACGACTATATCTAGCCTGGGCGCACACATATCCAACGCAAGTGCACATGGGCGCGTGCTCAAATAACTATATCCAGCCTGGGCGCACACGGGCGCGCACTCTAACTGCTATGCCAGGCTTGGGCGCGCATGGGCGCGCACTTTAACTGCAATACCAAGCTTGGGCGCGCATGGGCGCGCACTCTAGCTGCAATATCAAGTTGGGGCGCTCATGGGCGCGCACTCTCAAGCTTGGGCGCGCATGGGCGCG